CTAACCTTATTATAACAAGGGCAATTTAATTTAGCCTAATCCGACTAAATATATTTTAGATAAGTTTTCATTAATTTAATAATAAAGAAACACTGTGAAATATATATTTTTCGTTAGGTTCATAATGATTTTTTAGAAATTACTGCATACACAAATTTTCGCTTGCCATGTTCGGCAAGAAGAGCGTTGTTATTTAAACGAAAATCGAAAGTTTTACCTATTCGGCGCGCACACACACACACACACATATATATATATATATATATATATATATATATATATATATATATATATATATATATATAATATGCGCAGTAATATATTTACTTATTGAGTATATTTTGCCATCAGCGCAAATTCAATATAAAATCTTAACCTTCACATTTCAACACAGGAAAGACACTGTATAACAAAGGCAGACATCAGCGTAAATTCCCATAACTTCTGCTGGTAGAGTGTCAAGAGAGTTTAAGAATTACAAAACAATTCATTCCTGCACCTTCAGAGACAGGACAGGTAAACTTTGCCCTCTGCAAATTTGCATACTGTCTTGTAGGAAGGCGGAATTTAGCATGTTTATGGCCCTTGTAATATGCTCATGTCAGCTGATAACGAGCAGGGGAGATTAGTGAAGATTTATCCCATCATTCATTACGTTGTTTTTGGGTCGTTAGGAACAGTGGTAGAACATTAGAGAAATATGGAGGTGTTGCTCCCACTCGCTTTTGGTTGTGTTGCTCCTCCTTGGGGAAGGTATGAAGGGTGGAGGTGTTGCTTTCACTCCTCCTTCTTGGAGGTGCTAAAGATGGTGTTTTTCCTCCTCCCACTTGCTGGTGTGAAGGCTGTTGTTCCTCTGGCTCGCTGGGGCTGTGCAGAATAGTGTTGTGCAGGCTCTTCCACCACCACCGCAACACCTCGAAGCACCACACAAAAACTCGCAGCACCACACAACACCTCGCAGCACAGAATATCACCTCGCAGCACCATACAACCCCTCTATTGATCAAAAAAGTTGAAGAATAACCCAGTACTAAGATTGTACCTGTATTCTGGGATAGAAATAATAACCTGCCATGTCCTGCCCTATAAGAGAGAGGGGAGGCGGAGAGGGATGATCCAAGGAGTACGTTAGTGACTCACGAAATCGTAATGACACGATTGCAAACAAACCATACCCCGGCTGGGATTGAACCCGCGGTCAGAGAGTCTCAAAACTCCAGCCCGTCGCGTTAACCACTAGACCAGCTAGCCACAATAAGATTACGTTAGTCACGCAGGGCCTTGCCTGGCGATACACATGCGTGACCCAGGTGAGCAGGGCTGGATTAAGGATTGTAAAGGCCCGAGAGCTAGCAACTTGTTGGGACCCAAGGCCAAGCAACATGTGCGAGCCCCAGGGAGAAGCAACATAAAGGAGTCTACAAACAAACGTGTTACCGAGAACTAAGTTTGTTTTTTCTACAGTTGATGATCATTTAAAAAAATGCATCTCCATAAAAAATAATATACTTTTTTTTCAAATTTTGCTTTAAGGGGCCATTTTTTTTTTTTTAGTTTGCCCCAAAATTTGGGCCAAAGTTGTATCTACCGTGGCTGGAACAATTCACAAGCCATGCTACCATGGCTGAAACAATTAAAAAGTAACCCATATATTGAAGAGTCAATTTCAGACGAGGTTTCGGTCCGACTTGACCATTATTGGGTGCCTAACTCCAGCCACCTACAGCGCAAGTTGGCTACTCACCACGGTGCCTGCGCTAACATACTGTCTTCTGCGTACACAAACACAGTCTCTATACTGGCAAGAGTGGAGATCATGCGTTTAGGGATAACATACCATACTGGTGCTTGTATGAGTAGGCAGTGTTACAGGGTCGGTATAGAAGGTAGTTTACCAGGTCGGAGTTGTGGGCAATGTTACCTGGGCAGTACGACGATCATTATTACGAGACTGGCACGAAAGGTAGTGTTAACAAGTATACAGGGCAGTGTTTGCTGTTGGAATGAGCACCTCACAGCTACAACACCACACATCGTCACTGTTACGACTTTGATGTCGTAACTTATATAAGCAACCAAGTTCCGTAATCCGAAAGGTGTCATCAGCTCCAGTGGTCTTTCCTTTCAATCAGCAGTGACAAGTCGACTGGATTTTCAAGGTGTAGTGTCTGATATGTGGAAGATGGCCTGTACTTAACTCTGTGAAGAAGTGTCTTGTGTGCTCCCGTGGACTGAACCAAGATGCCCTCCATCGAGCAACTTTACCAGCAACTTAAGCCTGGCTACACTACCACGCGTGATGATACACACGTAATGAAAACTCACCACAGACTTGTTTAGCGTGACCCTTACAATTCACTCCCCTACCCCGCTAACCCTAACACTTCCATCATCTCGCCTCCCTTCCCCCTCACTCTCGACCCTTCCCTCACTTCCCCTCCGCCATTTTTTTTAATATTTTGCCCCGAGGGACGAGTTTATTGGGCAGCGCCATTTATTCAGCGAGTGAGCAGACTGCCATGAGGACTACATTTCACCTCAAATAGGTGACACGCTGCATGCAATATACACTCCATCCTTAGCTGTTGCAAATTGATATAACCTATTTTTACAAAATACAGCTTATTTTCGTAAAACATTACCAATCATGTGATGAATGGTTTGAAAAACCGACAAGTTGAAGATTGAGACACTTATGCAGCATATGGGAATCTTTATTCAGGAAACGTTTCGCCACACAGTGGCTTCATCAGTCCAATACAAAGAGGAAGGCGTAAGGAGAGGAGGAGAATGAGGTAATCAGTCCCTCAACCTGGAGTCGATGTGTTCAGTCCATCAATCTTGTAGAATGTACAGCATAGGGCCGTAGACGTGGCTTATATATTGTAGTGAGGTGAGGTGAAGCAGGCGGAGGCGGGGTCATAGTGGTACCATCCACTAGTCGAAGTAGGTCTTCGTCCAAAGGTTGAACAAGTGTTGAAGAATTCTTTGTAACAAGATCCCATGATGCTGCAGTGTCTGACAGTTGTGATGAATGGTTGAGGGACTGATTACCTCATTCTCCTCCTCTCCTTACGCCTTCATCTTTGTATTGGACTGATGAAGCCACTGTGTGGCGAAACGTTTCCTGAATAAAGATTCCCATATGCTGCATAAGTGTCTCAATCTTCATTACCAATCATATTTACAACAAGCTTATGTATTCATAAATATCAGAAATATAATTTCTATATTCGTATACTCTTCTGCCTCAATAGATATATTTCTGGAGGCTGTGTCTATCTTGTTCTCCCCACACTTTCCTCAATTAATTTTTTTTATTATCCATGAATTACAATATGAATTACAATATTTTGAAATGACGTGAATATACAAGTCACTAGTCAAATAATGCATTTCTTTTCCTCTCATGGAGTTGCTACACCAACCTGCCACACAGAATGGTAACTCAAACCGATCCTGGCCACCGTTGTTTGCACTCCACTTCCACTTTTCTTACACTAAAATGTGTTTCATCTATTCAGTTAAAATGCCCAAATTCGAAGCCACTGTCTATAAGCCCAGATTCAAAACCACAGTCTATAAGCCCTCAGACTGTCAGTCCAAAGCTACAGCAGTCAAACCACCAAGGATGACTGGTTGAGCGTTTGGCTGGCCATTTGAGAACCGCCAGATTGCAGGTTCGACTCATGACATTTCACTTGGAGTGCTGCATACCTTCTACCGATTTTTTAAAACGCGTATTTGCAAATGCAACCCAAAGCTGATGGCTGACAGGCTCAGTATCTCCTGCAACAACACTCTGAACTCGTTCTTCAAAACTGGATTTGTGTTTTCCTTGAAATATGCTGCAATCTTTCATTAAATCTGCAGTGTGTGTTTTCCTGCTGTATTTTTATTCATGTCACTTAATTATGTCTCATTTCCTGCTAGATTAACACGAGATGGCGTCCATGCAAACTGAATTCTGATTTTTTTTTAGCTTATTAGCATATTTGCATTTCTTCGTATATCCTCAATATTTTTAATTATATTTCTGGTTTTTAAACCGAATAAGGTTAACAGTTTATTCCGTGGTTAATTTAAGCGCCACTAAGTTCAATATTAATCGCCCTATTAACATTACTACTAAGAAATTTAATGACACAAAGGTACTACTGTGTCGTACGATAAGATACTCATTTCTACACTCACTATTTTAGTTTTAAGATTATACCGAATCTCATAAATGAGTTCTCAAACTGCTCGAGTACCTTGAATCTCTCTTCATACTGAATTACTTATACGGGAACAGCATAGTTTGTAACATTGTTATTAATGAATGTACATCATAATTCATATTGATAATATTCAATTTAAGTACAATGACTTGGCTGTCAGCAGTCCTAAACAATTATGGCAGCTGTGCACTATTTTCTCTATCTTCCCACTGGATTTTCTTTGCAACATACACACATTAAATGTTGATATCAAGGTACATAGGCAGTGACTGACAACGTTATTTTTATTTTTCTATATTTCTTTCAACTTGCATGAAATTCTTCGTTTTCTGTTATATTTGCACTCGCTTTACATCAGGAACTTTTAAACTGACCATGTCATGGGAATTGTATCATCATGCCTTACATGAACACTGGCAAGATACTTGATATTGCTTATTAAGTTCACCAGAATATTAAACGTAAGGTTCAGAACACCCCATAGGGTGAGCCCAATTCCATTCTATTTGCACTGCATGTTATGTCGTGGCTAACACTGTCTAGAGTTTAACGAGTGAAAAGTTCGTATCTGTACACCTTGATGATGTGTTCCACCAATTCTTCATAGTTGCCTTCCCTTCTGTTTCCTAGAAATCCCTTCGCCACTAACTTGAATGCTTCCCAAGCAGCTTTCTCCTCCCCATGAAGGTCTGTTTCAGAGTCGCCTGTGTTTTATCTAAGAGAAAACTGTGCGTGTCATCCATGATTTTCATTAAAAGCTGTATAACGTGATATTTTTAGTGGTTCATTTCACAAGTTCGATTTGCTCTCAGGAATTATGTTTTATGCATATCAGGCTGTCATATCTCAAGAGTTTAGTAACTGCGTAGTGCATCCTAATAATGAAAAGAGTATAAGGAAGCATACAAATAAAGTAACACTATCAACAAACTAATAATCTAAAAATGCAAAGTCACCAAAGGTGTGGGTTTTTTTCCTGGCAAGCTTCTCCTCGGTAAAGTCACTGGAGATGGACAAAGCCTCAGAGGAAAGGCGAAATATACAAGCTTTCTTTTCTTATATATCATTTTATCCAGGTGGAGCGGTTTGGGCAAAAAATAAAGGACATAAATTAATTGTGCATGATATGGTTGGCTGTTTTTTTTTTCAGGATGAAAACCTATCAGCTACAATAGATTCTTTAAGGTTTTATGTCACTTGTACACCACCATCATTCTATCATGCAGGAGGAGCCACATGTCTATGGTGCATCCAACAAAATAAGCAGACTCTTGGATGTCACTACTGCCCGGCTCCGGCTGGGTTACAAGTACCTTTGGCAGGTTAAATCACCACCACCAGATGTAGACCAAACGAAATGTAAACTTTGCCAGATGGATTATTGTCACACCCTGCGTCATTATGTACTGGAGTGTGATAAAATTAATGAATTTAGGAACAACTCACTCAGAAGTGTTCAAGAAATGGCTAAGTATTTTATCCACAGTGGTATATTACAGACCATTCTGGAGAAATACCCTGACTCTGCTAGCTGTAAATAAAGCATTACCACATATGTGCATGTGTGTGTGTGTGTGTGTGTGTGTGTGTGTGTGTGTGTGTGTGTGTGTGTGTTGTGTGTGTGTGTGTTTGTGTGTATGTGTGTGTGTGTGTGTGTGTGTGTGTGTGTGTGTGTGTGTGTGTGTGAGTATGAGTGTGTGTGTGTGTATGAGTGTGTGGTGTGTGTGTATGAGTTTGTGTAAGTGTGTGTGTGTGTGTGTGTGTGTGTGTGTGTGTGTGTGTGTGTGGTGTGTGTGTGTGTGTGTGTGTGTGTGTGTGTGTGTGTGTGTTTATGTGTGTGTGTGTATGAATTTGTATGTGTGGTGTGTGTGTGGTGTGTGTGTGTGTGTGTGTGTGTGAGAGAGAGAGAGAGGAGAGAGAGAGAGACTCAGCAATCAACATTTGCACCAATAACTCACTACAGTTGTGACCGGGTGTGGAAGTGTGAATTGCTCATTACTCTAAAATTTGTTCATGATTGCAGCCATGTATAAACGTAAGTAACCATTCTTACAGTATTCATTACCTTTGTAACTTGTGAGCTCATTACCTTGTACCTAGTTCAGCCATCAAAACTTTGGAGCCCGGTCCCTGGACCCATTGTGTACCTCTGTAATCTGTAAATACCTTTGTAACTTGTCATGATTGTGACTAGACCTACCTGGAGTTCATTACCTTTGTAAATTGTGAGTTCATTACCTTTGTAAATTGTGAATTCATTACCTCTGTAACTTGCTCAGCTATCAAAACTTTGAGGTCCAGTCCCTGGACCCATTATGTACCTCTGTAATCTTTTGACTACCGCCCACAGGATGGGTATGGGGTGCATAATAAACATATTAAACTAACTAAACTAACAGTCAAGGTTCCTATAGTGTGTGAAGCAGTAAACTCAGTTTATATCATAGATACACAGACATGCAATAAGATCACAGTAAACAGGTGATATTACAATATGCAAAACAACCACTGTGTCCTTGATAATGTGAGAAATCACGACAGCCCTTGGATTTTCACGTTATTTTCACAGCGGTTGTTTTACATAAATATATACACTTCCCGGAATATATATTCATTTGCTTATGTGGAATACAAGAGAGACGATATTAATTCATTCATTGGGGAAGGGAGAGGTAAACCTGTAGGGGTCATGTAACGACTGGAGGAACGGGGCTCAATTGAGTTCGATTCAAAAAGAGGTCAGGTCCAATTCCTTGGATCAAGACCTCTCACCAGCATCAAAGAACATTGAGAAGGCACAGGATAAAACATCCAATAATAGGAGTGTATTCTTCTGTCATGTACAGGACTTCAGTCACGACACACTCAGTTAAATCCAAATGAACTGTTGAAATGAGAATATTATAGATCTGAGAATATTATAGCTCTGAGAATATTATAGATCTGAGAATATTATAGCTCTGAGAATATTATAGATCTGAGAATATTATAGCTCTGAGAATATTATAGATCTGAGAATATTATAGATCTGAGAATATTATAGATCTGAGAATATTATAGATCTGAGAATATTATAGATCTAAGAATATTATAGATCTGAGAATATTATAGATCTGAGAATATTATAGATCTGAGAATATTATAGATCTGAGAATATTATAGATCTGAGAATATTATAGATCTGAGAATATTATAGCACTGAGAATATTATAGCTCTGAGAATATTATAGCTCTGGAAATATTATAGCTCTGGGAATATTATAGCTCTGGGAATATTATAGCTCTGGGAATATTATAGCTCTGCTGAGAGTGAAACATCACCCTCCAATAGAAGATTGTTCTGAATATTTTTCAGATTTTTTTTTTTTTTTTTTTTTTTACATCTAAGACAAAAACTTTCACCAACATTACACATGACCCAGAATGTGAAGACTTTTGCCAACATTTACACTTGGACAAGGACGTGAAGTCACCAAAATTACACCTGGACAAAAACGTGAAGACTTCACCAACACTTTCCGCCCCCCCCTCCCCCTCAAAAAAAAAAAAAAAAAAAAAAAAAAAAAGGAGCAGTTAAGTGAAAATGGATTCATGGAATGAAATCTACGACACAAACTTGAAACTTTACCACAAATTTATCGAAAACTCGTTTCAGAAAGTTAACATTTTTTTCCTTCAGGGAATTGTTAGGAACCGATACTTCAGCACTTGATGTGGTGTTACGATAGTGAAACACATGACCTGGCGTTACAACAATGCAACACTTAACCTGACGTTACTATGGTGGAATACAACACTTGGACTGGCACTTCATCAGTGGAAAACTTCACTTGATCCGTTATAAGAACAACTAATCACCACAGCACTTAGTCTGGTTCTGTAACACAACACAACACTTGGTCTAGTGTTACGGCAGTGGAACACGGCACTTATGACTGGCATTACTAGGGAACACCTCAGCACTTTCTCTGATGTTACATTTAGAGTAGAATTACAGGTTTAAATAAGCCAAAGCTGGCGAGTCCGCTCTGGTAATTGAGTCATCCAAGCAATTAACGCAAACATTTGGGAGGCCAGAAACAATCTAACTCAGGAATGTGGAATTTCCTCGCGGACTGTTTATTTAATATAAACCTTGTGTTGAACAGCTAAACCTCGGGCGATGAACAACGCATCATCACATGATTATATGTTTAATACATTTCAAAAGATATATATGTATGTATATGTGAGATATATACGTAAGATATGGAAGAAATCACAATAAAACGTGTGATTGCAAATGTGGAAAAAATACCACAGTTAAAATAGGAAATAAAACCTTAGCGATTTCATGTGCTTACATTCACATCTTCAGAGAACTGAAGATGTAAGAATAATATATGAGGATATTCTTCACGAATCACGTGAATTATCCTTCGCATATCAAAATATAAAAATAAATAAAAATCTTACATCCAATCGAGACTGGTGTTGCATTGCCAGACAAACAGAGAAAATTGCAGATTGCAAATGATCTTCTTGCTTTTATATTTTATGAACTCAAAATTCTTACCCAATAATTATGATATGCAAATAAAGAAAAATAAAAAAAAAAAAACTCATTAATGTCTGTAGAGCAAGTCACTATGAAGACCGAAATGTTTCCCGTATAAAAAAATATGTTGCTACATATGTGTGTGTGTGTCTTAACAGTTTCAGTTTCTTTCCGACAGATGGTGCTGATTGTTCAGTAATTAATAAAGCGGCAAAAAACTGAAGTCATTGTGTGTGTAGAAGTCTCATACAACATGATGTGTGATCACTGCTAAGTGACGTGTGTGTGTGTGCGCGCGTGCGCTGAAGTGTCACACATGATCTGTGATCACTGCTATGTGACATGTGTGTGTGATGGAGTGCCATGCAACATGACTGATCACTGTTAAGTGACAAGTTATTAGGACGCAGGACAGTGATACATTAAGTTGGCATACACTTTGCGCCTGGTGGCGAAAATTTATCGACCCTGGATGCATCTGAAAATCAAAAACCCAGGGCGTCCTGCTGCTTGTGGAGCAATAGATGAGAGTCTTCGGGAAGAATTTTTTTTCATGGCCCAAAGAAATCAACATCTTTCGCCAGTCGTAAACTTAATTTACGTCAGCCACCGATGTGAAAACTTCAAAGGAAACGTCTCGACCTTCGTCTTGACGTATTATATGTTGCAAAACAAAAGCGGATAACGAAGCGAAAATGAAATAAAGTGAGACGAAGAAATCTGAATATGCTACACAGTGTTTGGCAAGAGACGGAATGCCGTTATGATTGATGTTCACTGGACCGCAAACGGCGGATACATTAAAATTGAATATATAACTCTTCATGATAAATTTTGAAAATCGTGAAGATCATTGGCACTTAATAAGTGACAGAAAATATTGTTTCGTTTCATGAACCGGATATTCCCTGCATGAATTTCATGAAATACGTTGAACCGCAAACGAAAGGCTACTCTTACACACATTACTGTTAGAATTCAAAGTAATGTTGAACTAGGATTCAATCTTTAGCCACTGGCACCACAGCCAACATAAATGATGAAGATTTAGACACATACGCAACATCTGGGCATGTTTATTTGCAGACGTTTAGCCATGCAGTCCCCTCAAGGAAGGTTCCTTGATGTTGGTGAGGGGCTCTTGATTATAATAATAATTAACCATGCAGTGGCTTTATCAATATAATTTCAAGGATATAACGGGAAGACTAAAGAACTGTGAAGCTACTATACATCAGTTATGTGCAACACAGTCAACATAGTCTCTGACATCCTACGTAAAGCCAACATGGATGTACCTCTAATTACTATCAAGTCAAAGACATCAGGACCAAACACAGAACCCGAAGACGAAGGGATTTACAGCTTTTCTTGTGGGAAATGAGACAAGGGCTCCGTTAAACAAGCTGCCAGAAGCCTTCCCATACGCCTACAAGAACGCGTGTACGATATACATGCAGAACTGGCAACACCAATGCTTGTGTACACCGCATTACTCACACCCATCTTATTACGTGGAAAAAAACGCTACAATGCTCTTACCTGAAAAGAAACTTAAATGCTCATGTCAGACGTTTTCATCAAACTATCCAGTACCATTAAATAAAATGGTGGAAAACTAACCTGGGCCACACCTATTACCCACATCCTCTTAGAACAACGAAAGCTTAAAATATGGCATAAGCCAGTAGACCTCCTGCAGTGCTCTTCTGATACTTCACTTCGTGAACTTTCACCTGACCTCAGCCGCCGAGTGTGCTGTTTAAGAGGCATTGTTCGCGCGCTTCCTATGTACTTGGACAAGGATACTTGTGTGCTTAAGTGACCATTCCTTCCTATGATCGTTCATGACAGCCTCTTCCTGTGGGTCACCTCAAGGAAGGTTCCTTGACGTTGGTGAGGGGCTCTTGATCTTAGGAATTGGATCTGTGCTCCAGTTCCCTGAATTTCTTCCACATCCCCCCCACCCCCACAGGCCCTGCATAATCCTACACATTTAGCTCTCCCCCATAATAATAATAATCATAATAATAATAATAATAATAATAATAATAATAATAATAAATCTTCCTGTGTGTGAAACCAAAAAGGCTTTCTCGCTTTGGTATCTTTTTTTGCAGGGTATTATTAAGGGTTTCAATACGTAATATTTGACCTCTATAAATATTATAGGATGGAGTTTGCGAAGGTTATCTGCTATGTTCACCTTTCCTTCTTTCAAATTTTCACGACCTGACTACAAATACTGATCAACTGGAAAATGTTTTCACGTGAGAAATGGCAAGTAAATATTGTTAAAATATTTTGCCATATCTCCATCAGAAATTAAATTGTTGCTTTCTGCTACACTAAAGTCGATAGAAAATATGTTTATTTACCAAGGTGCAATAAATATTTCTGCTATTTTCTCTAAGCCAATGTTTTTTTCTGCAACAAAACTTTTTAATTTCTGTTATAACGATTATTTAGTTATATACTACGATGCGTGTTTTTTCCACTCACTTTCTTTTATTTCGCTGTTAGATTAATTAGGTTTGATAAATACTATTGGTTTTCTTTTATCATAATATTAAGTGAATTGTTATATACTTTCATCTTTTGGGGAAAATTGGGAAGCTATCAGGTTCGATCCATGGAAAGGGAGCACAAATCCAATTCTTTGGATTAAGAGTCCCTCACCAGCATGAAGGAATCTTCCATAATGGGATTATCTCTTCAGAATTTGATAATCTGTATTCATGTACTTCTAAATATTTACAAGCTATGAGGAGGTACTTGTACCTCCTCCCATGGGAGACTTAAGTCTCGAGACAATCCCCAGATAGGGAGCCAAGGCCGGGTCACCACTACTTGGAAAAGACCCGGGTCGGGAGAATACCGGCGAAGAAAAAAAAAAAAAAAAAAGCTATGCCTACATTGTATTTATCGATGGTTTTGTGTCGAGTAATGGAAACACGTCGCGCATTTCATCAAATTTTCCCGATTTCAATTCGGGTCTTTTTTCATCACTATTTTTTTTAAGGATGCTCGTTACGCCAAAATCACTGGACAATTAAAGTCGCAAAGTGGTACTAATTCTTGTATTTATTTTCGTTATCTCAAAAGCAGTCTTCACTTTCTGATGACTCAGATATTTGAAGATGAAAAAATTCTGAGATGAAAGCGAACCACTATCTTCCACTAGTGTCAGATGAGCCAGGTTGCGGCGGTGATGTGGGCCTGCGGTCTCTAGCAGCAATAACCTGGTTGACCAGGCAGCCACCAAGGAGTCCTGGCAATAAGCCGGGTTGCCAGGGTAGAAGCGTTCTCGAAACCTGTTACGGGTGTGTCACAAGTATGCAAATTTAAAAATAATTAATCTGTCAACCCTTTATTTCACAAAACAAAGATCCGATACTTAGTGTGTGTGTGTGTGTGTGTGTGTGTGTGTGTGTGTGTGTATGTGTATGTGTGTGTGTGTGTGTGTGTGTGTGTGTTAAAATCTGTTTTATGTATGATTATTGTTAATTATCTTCAAGTTTCCTTGGATCAAACCTTATTGCCTTCCATTCCTCAGGAGTTGTATGACTCATACGTGTTTAACGCTATCCAATCAAAAATGATGCTGGGGGGAGGAAGGGAGGGAAAGAAGGGGATTTTTCAAGATGTCAATCTCTCTTCAGTGGCTGGATTTCTCAGTGGCGAGTTTCCTCATTGGCTGAATTTCTCGGTGGGGATGGGAAACGTTTTCCTTTTTTTTACCTCGATGATTCCATTACCAGACGAGCGTAACTGGAGAAGGCAGCAGCGAGGCTACGGCTGCTGGCCGCTGTGCACTTCCATCTCTCTCGTGTCCAGACCGGTGGGAAAGGCAATACCGCAAGGATATGGAAATACCACCCGTACAAAAATGCATATAAAGCCTCCGCCCAAAACCAGGGCAAGTGAAAAATAATATTCTGAAAGGCCGTTGCTTCCCCTCGCCTTCAATTTGTTGCAGGGACGGAAGGAGTGAGTGGAGGGAGACGAAGAGGAGAGGGGAAGAAAGTGGAAACGGACGTTGCGTTCTATATCGAGGTTATCTGCCCAATACAGTTAGTAGCATGTAAGTTTTGGCTTTTGCGGACAATAGACAATCTTGATCGCCGCTTGAGCTGACTGACCCACCTGCGTTTAGCGATTCACATAATAATAATAATAATAATTAATGACAATTACTAATAGCAATAATAAGTAATACTTAATAAAATAAAAATATCACGTTAATAATATCTACTGTAGACAGATCCATATCCTCCATCCACAACGCAGGTACGAGAAAACACGTTTTAAATGCACTAAAATTTTGGTACAAATATTGAGTAAGTTTTAAATCCTTAGCACTGCTAAATAGTATTTCTTATTCTCTCATTACTTATTCTGTACTAAATGGTAATCTTTCTATATGACCCACACAGGTTTGACACGTTTTAGAATGTAATCAAAATAATGCAAATCGAGGTATATTACACCTGCGGCATATTTTTATGTCCTAGTTTTCTATACTGAAGTTTTTTACAAGTTGTTTTAAAG